TGACCTGTAGGAAGTGAACGAAGGCGTGCAGGCCCTCTCCAACAGCGAGGAGGAGAAAAAGGGCGTGGCTGCAGCCCTCCTGGCACCGCTCCTGCCCGACGTGGTGAAGGAGGAAGAGGAGCGCTGGAGGAGAAAGGTGATCTGTAAAGAGGAAGTCGAGCCGCCCCCCGAAGAGGAGATGAAAGGAGAAGAGGCGGCGGCTGCTCCCGAAGAGGCGGAAGCTGGCAGGGATCTGCAGGAGGAGCTGTGCAGCGTGGTGCAGTCGGGGGAGAGCGCTGAGGAAGAGGAGGAGCAGGACACCCTGGAACTGGAGATGGTGCTGGAGAGAAAAAAGGTAAGAGGGAAAATTTTGTCATTAAAATGCGGCTGTGGGTGGACCCGAGGAATAGTTGGGAATAAACCAGGAGCAGCAGATGTCTTTGTCCTGCTCCCTCTGGGAGAGCGACCTCGTGTTTCCCGTGCTGCTCCTCTACGGGCACGGGCTCTGGATAAATCCAGGCGCTGAACGGCCACAGCTTCGCAGAGACGTTCTGCTGACGATTTGGCAGCCGGTGGCAAAGCTTTGCTCTGTCTTTGCTGCTGTTAACGTGGTGCCCCGATTAGAGCAGCTGTTTGCTCTTTTTCCACGGGTGACTCATCCCCGTGGCCACTTTGTGGGAGGCTGAGGTCCCTGAAGTGCCGCTTGCTGTCGTGTCTCTTGGCAGGCGGAGCTGCGTGCCTTGGAGGAAGGCGACGGCAGCGTTTCGGGCTCCAGCCCACTCTCTGATGGGAGCCAGTCGGCCTCGCAGGATGCAGCCCACAGGCTGGCCTCTAAACGAGGGAAATGGAAACTGTTTGTCGGAGCTGCCAGCCCTGAATCTGCGAGTCGAGGCTCCAGCAAAACGGGCCGGGAGAGCCCGGAAGCGGGAGAAGCAGGTAATTGCAAAGGCTCCCTTCGGAGGGAGGAGCGGGTGTTCGGAAAGGCCGCAGCCCTCTCCCACCGGGGTCTCCTTTCCCCGAAGAAGCGCACATAGAGGAGCCGGGACGGGTGGTGAGGTACGTGTGCCGGGCAGGGTACAGGCCCAGAGGGGTGGCTGTCACCACTGTCACGTAGCTGAGCTCGCAGGCCAGCAGCACGAGTCTTGCAGGCTCAGGGCAGCGTGGGGATAAGCTGAAGCTCTGCCGGATTCTCTCCTTTATCCTGTAATTAAAGAAAATAAATGGGAGAGTGATGACATTCAGCGCTAAATCAGGAAAATAAATAGGAAAGTGCCCGTACTTGACACTTTATCAGGAGAAGGAACACAGAAGTGTGATACTGGCCGCCTTCCACTTTCCTCCTGATGTTATAAATCTGAACTGTGGTACCTGGGGAGCTCTTCCCTTCCCCTTCTTGAGTTGTGTTTCCAAGCTGCCTGGTAGCAATCGCCACGTTTCAGACGGGCAAGGTGTTCCCTGAGAGCTGCTCCGGCTCCATGCTCCGTGCGTAGGAAACGTGAGGCAGGACCTCGCCACGAGGGATTGCTGCTTCGCGGAAGGGTTGGTAGATGCCAGGTGGTAAATCACTCGAGGAACAACCCCTCGGCAGACCTCGTGTTCCTGCCGGCGCTCCGCTTCCTGGTGGTACAGCCGTGGTCTTTCACAGGCTGTTGTCAAATATTTGTTAATAGCAGCTTGGCGCATGGTGCGGAGCATCGTATAAATTTATTATCTTGGGGAAATCGCACGATTGTGGCTGTTGATGCTCCACTACAGCCCGTGCTTCACCGCCTCGGGTGGCTGTCACCTGTCCTGTCCCTCCCCTCTTCCCCAGAGCTGTGCTCCCCGACACGCGCTGGCCGCACCTTTTGGGGGAGCAGCCTGTGCCCCGCAGCCCTGGCTCCCAGTTGTGCCTGTCCCTGCCCGGCACAAGCCTTTGGGCACCCACCTGCCTCCTGGCAAAGAGGGACGCAGCCCCTGTGGCGCAGAAAGATGGCTGAAGGAGAGATAACTGCTTTTCCCAGGAAGAATTGGTACAAAAGTGCCCTGAGCTGGGAGCAGGATGCGTCCTGATGGAGTGGGGGACGGTGCCTGCCCCAGAACGGGGTTGATGTTGCCCCAGAACGGGGTTGATGTGGCCCCAACACACGTCTGCTTCAGGCAGAGGTGTGATCTGGAGGCTCAGGCCCCATGTTAGGTCAGTGATGTTTGTCCAGGGTTGCTCCGAGGGCTGGTTTTGCCAGAGGGTTTTCCCTCGAGCCTCCAGAACAACCTGCCTGTAGCCAGCTTCTCCCAGCAGCACCAGTTTCCTGCTTACCCGGGAAATGGGAAGCTGTTCTTCTAAAATCACTGATTTAAATGTGAGCACCCTGCAGCTGGAGGGCGGCTGAGGGAAGGGTCCTGCCCTTCAGCCCAGCGCACACCCGGAATGTGGTTTGGTTTGTCCCCCGAGGGCTTTTGAGAGGAGTTCCTGGCAAAACCTCCTCCCTGGAGCTTGTCTCTTGGACAGTGAATTAGTCGCCGCCCTCCCATGCTGCTGTGGAGGTGAAACCTTCTGGTCTTACCAGCTTTTTGGGAGCTCTTCAGTCTTTGACAATTGTCTCAACTTACTTAATCTTTGATACGTTTTCTTGATAAATTATTAAACCGCCCATTTAATATTTAATTTAATAATTAACGGTTGCCTGCCTGGCAGTTAGCTCTCCTCATGCTTCCTTGAACCCCGGCGCTCCAGCTTCTTCCTCCCTCCCGTCCCCACACTGTAGCAGCTGTAATTCTCTGCTTCCTGTGCCGTCCTTCCGGAAGGACCCCCACCATCCAGCCACAGAGGCAGTGACCCTCTCTCCTTTTCAATTTCAGGTTTTTATCACCGGCTCACAGAGAAAAGAGGCCGCAGCTCTTTCCTCACCCTCTCCGCCATCGGCTTTGGCTCCCTGGTGCAGTGTCTCCGGGCGGCTGTCGGCAGTGCCGTGGTGGTGGTGGTGGGTGAAGGACTCACCTCTTGTTTTTTTCTCCTGCAGCAGCGAGCACAGAAGCAACTGAAGCAAATTCAGACAAAGAGGCAGAGTCTGAGGAGCCCCAAGAGAAAGCAAAAGCACAAGGGGCACCAAAAATAGAGGAGGAGGAGCAGGACCTAAAGGTACGGAGACACAGAGGTGTGTGGCGGTGAGATCCATCCCAGCTTGCAGCAGGGACGTGGCTGGGCACTGGGCAGCTCCCCCAGGGGCTCGCTGTGGCCAGAGGGACCTGCTGGCTCCCTCGGCCACCTCTGCCCAGGGGACACCTGGGCTTTGGGCTGGGGGTTTGGCCCAGCTGGAGTGACCTTGTCACTCTCCTGCGCTGCTGGCAGGACGGCGCCATGCCCCTGCTGAAGCTCTAAACCTCAGAGCCCAGAGCAGCTCGCCCCAGCCCTGTGAAAGAGCAGCCAGGCAGGATTTGGACAGTGTCTCTGCAGCCTTGAAAGTGTTTAAAAATAAACTAAAATAAAAGGGGTGTGGGGAGGATAAAGATTGAGCCCTGGGTCTGGTCATGAGAGACAGCAGACACTTGCCTTGACTTTCTGGTCACCAATGATGATGTTACCATCCTCTGGCACGTGCCCGTTCAGCCCTCCCGTCTGCAGGCTGCAGACTCCTCGTCCGTAATCCCTCTGTCTCTGGAGGGTGCCGGTACCTGCTGCTCTGCCCTTCGCCTGGCAGGACTTTTTTGAAGTTATTAAATGCAAATGGGGGAAACCCTGGGGATTTCTAAAGATATTTTCTCTTCCAAACCTTGATTTGCTCTTTTTGGCTGCAGCTGAGTGATTCCCAGAGCTGTAGTGGTGACACGCAGAGCTATGGGCTCCGGGCGATAGCTCCGCAGAGCTCTAGGGGAGATATTTTATTTGTCCTTCTCATTCCCTTGTCACTCATTACTGCGAGATCTCCTGCAACGTTCTGTTTGGCTCCTGAGTCCTTTCATGAGCAAATGTTGTCATCTTCCTGTGCCAGATGGTTTACGGACGGGGAATCGCCGGCTCGTGGTAGAACCCTGGTGGAAGCCTGCAGCGAGCGCTGACCTCTGGCCATGCCCTCGCTTCCCACCACTTCACCATTTTGCCAGCATGAAAGGGAAGGGCTTCATTACTGTCCTTGGGACCGATTCAGCATCTCTCCCGTAAACTCTTCATGGAGTTTTGAGATGTGATGTTCCTTGCCCCAAACCACCGAGCCTCCCTCACTATAGCATCGACATGAGGCTTGTGTGATTTTTTTTTAAATTTATTTTACTTAAAAAAAAAAGCCTGCAGCAGGACCACGCTCGCTGCCTTTTAAGCTGTCACATTTGCTGTCCCCTTTTCTCCTGGTCCTGGCGGTGCCGTGTGACGGACTGTGCGCTGTAGCGTGGTGCTTTCACATGCAGGATGGTGGAGGTATGCCGTATCCTCGGGTAATCGCTAACGTTTGGTTCCTTGGCTTCAGGGTAACCTCTCTTGTGCCGCCTCTCTGGTTTGCAGGAGATCTGGGTCCTCCACTGCGAAGTCGCCCTCGGCTGTGGAATCCTCCCTGGCTTCTCCGTAGCCACATTAATGCAGGAATTAATTTCCCTACTTCAGGCTCCTCTAGCACTGCTTGTCTGTCCGGCCCGTGTCCCCCTCTGGAGACAGACGCCACGTTGTTGGCTTTGGGGACCTTCCAAAGCCTCTTCCCAAGAGTGAAGGAAAAAAAAGACATTTTTAGAGCCCTCCTTAAAGCAATCGTGATGCCGCTTGCAGGTGTCCGCCCCGTCCCTACTCTTGATCGCTGTCTGCCCCGTAGCTGCTTTCGTGCAGCCCCCCGGGCAAGGGGGATCGACAGGGGGATCCCCGTGGCCCCGTGCGGTGCCTGAACTGGAGGTGTGGCTCCTGCGGGACGCTGGGGTTGGCTAACGGCGGTCGCTGTGGGCTGGCCTGAATCTTGCCGTCGATGCTGCCTCTGCTCAGGAGTAAATCCAGAGCGGGTCCCTCTCCTGCGCTCTCCAGCCAGTTCCTCTGGAAAGCGGCAATTTACAAAGTCTGAAATTCCATCCTGGCCCGTTTCCTGTGGGAAACGGTTGAAGCAGGATTTTATTGAACGCTTTCTGCCCTGGCGATGGCTCTGCTGTAACTCGAGCTGGGATGCCGAAGCATTCCGAGCCCGTACCCCCCTCGGGCTGCTTCGGAGCGGTGACCACACTGGGGGCCGTGACCAGGAGCAGGGAAGGGTCCACACGAAGGAGCTGGGGTTTGCTGTCACCTCCCCCAGCCACAGAGGCGGGCCCGTC